TAAGGTTCATAGAAATCCTAGAAAGATAGATTTAGTTATTCATGAAATTTACAAACTCACAAACAACCCAAACTCTAAAATACCCTTTAGCAAAGGGAAATGAAGAAGAGGAAAAGGAAAGAAACTAAGAAAGTGAGTCATAAATGACATTAAAGCTCTAACCCAAGCTTCAATCTTCATTCCAAGCCATTCCATATAACTTTAAGGACTTCCCATACTCTAAGGCCCTATTTGGTACAAGGTATTAACTTTTATGGGATTGGGATTATGATTGGGACTAGGATTGGGAATGGGTATAAGTTTTAAAATCATGTTTGGTATGATATGGGATTAAAAAATATGAGACTCAAATTTAACCACAAAAAGTAGCTAAAAGACAAGTTCAACGAACATCATCATCATCCTCTCTCTCTCCCCCTCTCTCGCTGCAACCTTCACAGTTGAAGTATATTTTCATTTGCAAAAAGAAAAAAAATCAAACAAGAACAAGAACGTACAAATCTAGGATTAAAGATGGTGTTATCGCTAAATCAGAATTAGAAAATCAATTTCATGAACCCATGATCTAGAACCCGACTTCATGAACCCAGAATCAAATGAGGAACGATGATGAACCCAAAAGCGAATGACAAAGAATGGTGGAGTGTGCGAGGTCAAGAATGATGGAGGAGATCCTATATGCGATGATGGAGGAGGAGTAATAGTGGTTTCAAGAAGGGGATGAGTCTAATTGGGAAACTTTTTTATGAGAGCATTTCACTCATGAAAATTTTAATCCCAAGATTGAAATTGCAATACTAAGGGGAGGTGGTACTAGATATTCCCACCAAGATAGGATTGGGTTTTGAAATAAATTTGCTATTACCACCTACCAAACATAAAAACTTGGCATTCCCTAATCCCAAACTTAGTCCCACTTAGCCAATCCTACATATCAAACAAGCCCTAAAGTTGTTAAATGGTGGCCAAAAATTAAGCAAGGGATTATAAAGATGTAGAATCCTTATTGTTATCAAAACTCACTATTTTAATAAGTTGCTAAAAATCACATTGTGTTATAGCCTAGATCACAACCTAGAATAATTTATTTCAATAGTTAAATAATGGTGCCACAGACTATGCTGCAATAAGCTTTAATTTGTTTATCCACAAAATACAAGCTTCTAGTATGATAATATTTTGCATCCTTATGCTTCCATGCTTTCCTTCCCTCTTTCTAAGCTTCCAAATCATTATTCTTACTTGACTTTTTATAATATTTGAGTCTTATGAAAGATGCAAACATACCAAACAAGTAAGGATATTCCATTATAGAGATAATTGAGTGCAACCAAGTCAAATTTGCAAGATGAAGAACCTAAGAATGTAATTAAGCTATGCATTTTCCTATTTAGTGTTGATTTTATACAAAAAAATCCCAAAAGGTGAGGAAATACTAGGAAAATTTTCAAGATAGCATGAAAATATGGAAGTTATCTGGTTCACAAATAAGATGTAAGAGAAAGAGTTCACAACAAACTTCCTTTTAATTTTCTTGAATGATTAAGACATGATACTTGAATAGAAATATATCATATATTTTCCTAATTTAAATTGAAATTTCAACCTTTAAATAGATCATAATGGAAGGCATTGAATTTGTATTTGCAAAACTGAGCAAGAGGAGTGTAGCCATATGACATAATGATAGAGAAAAACCAATTATTTCCACTAATGACACATAAAGTGGAAATAGGACATAATTATATGGACACTCAAGCCAAAGAGGAACGAATACCATAGAAGATTTGATAGCTCGCCTTAGAATACTCTAAGATTTGTTGTCCTTACTACCTTATCTCAATTTAAGAAGGAACAATCACAATCATTACTACAAAAAAGGCCTATATTTAGCCAAGGGCTTACATTTACTAGTGTTTATAATAAAAAAATATTCTAGTAGATTCGCATTTATTATTATTATTATTAAAATAGCTACCAAAGCATTTACCTTTATAAATGCTTTGGTAGGTTTGTATATTATTTTAAATTAACTACTAAAAAAATTTTAATATACTTCACCTATCATATACAAAATGCTCTCATATATATATATATATATAAGGTTAATTGACAATTGGGACCCTAAACTATAAGCATAGGGGTGATTTGAACCTTAAACTAGTATTTAATATATTTTGAATCCTGAACAATTAAACTTGCAACAATTTGGCCCTATCATTAATTTTGACTAAACATCCATCACTTTAAGTTGTAGGCCTTATATATGTACCACGCATGGATAAGAACTAGCCTTTATCCCTTTTTACTCTCTCCCCTCTCATTCTCTCTCTCTCTCTCTGTCTTAGCATCTAAATTAGATCCTATTCTTGTCCCATAACACACACACATACTCTCCTTTCTCTCCCCCCTCCTTACCATTATTGCAACATACCTCCTTTCTAAGACATGACTTTTACCTTAAAGGATGTTAGCTATATGAAGATTTTTTATCTCTGCCTTTGTTGATCTCCACCACCTTCCTAACTTTCTCTTATCATGACTGACCCCTACTCCTTTATTTCTTTCTCTTCCTTGTCTTGTTCCATGCATTTCCTATCCTCTCTTACTTTACCCTCTTATCCTTTAAGAGAAGCCCTACTTCTCCTTAACTTGAGCCCTCCTTGACATCATGATGATATGTAAGAAAATACCATGTAAAAAGGAGGTATGGGATTTTGTTCTCTGACTGATGATCCTATGATGCTAGCTTTATAATTATGCTTAGGGCTCTCAACCACTAGTAGTTTGTCGCCTAACTAGCCCTTTAGTGATTTAAACATGGTGGTGCATCCACATGATGCCATTCTTGAATTGGATGACATTAGCCTTGCAAGCCTCTAGAATCTAATTAAGCTCATACATGTTTAGTGCCATAAGCTGAAAATAAATAACCATAGTAAAAAGATAAAAGATTTAGTTTAAAAGTATACTATATGGTTAATAAAATTAACTTGTATAATTAAAAATATCAAATGACCCCTACCATGGTAGAAAGAATTCTACTGTGGTAGAATAGAAGAAAACCAAGTTTAATATGCTCTACCATAGTATAAAAGATTAAACTAATCAATAAAGGACTATTATGGTAGAAAAGTTTGAAAGTAAATTCAATATGTGTAAAACCTTTAGAAATTGGGATCCCCAAATCATATAAATTCCTTTCTATGATAATCAAATATAAGAAACCTACTAGAAATTAGAGTTCATATCTTAGGAAGCATGAGAAAAAGGATTGGATTTGAAAACTAAAACAAAATGGCCTAATTAAAATAAGAATCCCAAAACTAGGCACATCTATTGTAATATTTGTATTCTCCACCAGAAAGGATTACATAAAAGAAGAAGCCCCCTCGATGTGTTGTGCACTGTCGTGGCATATGACACTCCTTTCTCTGTACAATGTATTGTGACAAAGGCACCATATACCATGGTACATTGCACATAATCTATAATAGCACAAATGTTGTCATGGCAGCTTATGGGGCCAACTTCCAATGTCCCCCATTTCTCTATCTAGCATTAGATTAAGGTAATAGTACATTATAATTTTCAAATTATATCAATCACAAACTGTGACACCTAGAATCCAAACAATACCATTTTCACACTTAAAAACTTCAAAGGTGTCTAAATCCACAACCATGTGCCATTAACTACTCAACAACTAAGGTCAACTAAATCAAACACATCCAATTCAAGTAAATAAGTAGGTCAATTAAATAAGTAGGCATGCATAATGGAGAGATAAAATAAGTCAACATATTTAATCATAATACATGATCACTAACCTCCCTCATATCCTCTTGTTACTTTTAAGGGAATTTATGGGCTATTCATACAAATAGGGTTATGTCCATGTGATTGAACTAACCCAAGCTTACCGATTATGAGAGATGACCCAACTAAAGTTACCATACTCACTCTGAGACTGTGGATTTCACCATCTCAAGTATTAAGGTGTTATAAGCCCTACCCTATACTTAACTTGGGTAATATTCATGGATTAGTATGCTTAAAGAATGCTTACTAACACTTTACCCTAATACTATATACTCCTTTAAATCACTTGTCTTCTTTAAAGTTGGCATACTATCTTAAATATAATAAATTTTAGATTCAATGTATTTATTAGATCTCACAATGATGCATCTTTAAGGCATTCAGATGCAATACATACCCTAACTTGACATTTTAAACTTTAGATATCTCTATTACTAGAGTTTTAAGGAATAGAAGTATTTTGAGATTGCCTTAAAGTTAATACTTTGGCCAACCTTCACCTATAGCTAGGTAGTGAATTTAACCCCATGACCTTTGTCTTTCTTAGACTTCCATAAAGTTGAAGTCAAACATTTCCTTAAAGTAAAATTTTTTTCCCTTCCTTAGCCTGAGACTTGATACTTAAATTTAATAGTCATCACTATATCCTTAAGCTCTATATTATATTGTAACTTGGCAATTAATACTAGCAATTTCTCATTTTAGTATACTAAAAAATCTTGCAATAGTTTATCATAAGTTATCATTTACATTGGCATGAAACATGGTGACTTCAAATCTTCTTATAATATCCCTTAATTTACTTTCTTATGCTAGCATTCGTAAGCCCCAGTATATAACTCTTTATAATAGTGGATTGACATAACCTTTATGTCATCATAGCTTTCATTACCTCCAAAAAATTGAAGGGAGACTCTTCATGATGCCTCTAATTAAATACTAGTTGATTGTATCAACTACTAACATAATTAGTGAACTTTATAGACTCTAGTTTCATTTTGTTCTACTTAAAGTAGTTATGGAAGTAAAAAAAAGCTCTAGTACACTTTATATTATTCAACTATCAATTTATGCACTTCATATAGCACTGTTTCTTTTTTTTTTCTTTGATCTCTTTCAATGCTTTATAATTCTTTTACACATGATATCAATACTAACATCTTTACATATCTTAACAGTTGAAGCTGTTGCAAATGGTCAACAAGCTTGGATAATCCTTGAAGATCTCACTACTAATATTGATCTAGTTTTGACTGAGGTCATCTTGCCATGTTTATCAGGCATTAGTCTCCTATCCAAGATTATGAACCACAAAATGCGAAAAAATATTCCTGTGATTGGTGAGTATATCTACATATATATTTGTTTCTCATATGTGAGAAACTGTAACTTTATAACTTTGATCATTTTTATCCTCCTAAATTTATTTTTATGTGCAGTGATGTCATCTCATGATTCTATGAGTGTAGTATTTAAGTGTTTATCCAGGGGTGCAGTTGACTTTTTAGTCAAACCTTTACGAAAGAATGAGCTTAAAATCCTTTGGCAACATGTCTGGAGGAAATGCCATAGCGTGAGTTTGCTATAAATGATCTACTTTATCTATGAGCTTTTCAATGATTAATGGACTATGTTCAGGTCAGTTATTTTCTTAATTAGTTTGGTAGTATCAATTAATGTGAAAACAAGGTAATTATTTACATCTCTAATTATTATTATCATCATCATCATTATTATTATTATTATTATTATTATTATTATTATTATCCCTTTCATTTAAATTCGTTTAGGTCCACATAATTAACTAGTTGACTTTTATATGTGTTTCATTCCAATTTTGATCCCAATTCTCTCTAATATATGAATATTTTATTCTTCAATTTTGTATTTATAACTTATCCTTTGATCAGTCTAGTGGTAGTGGAAGTGAAAGTGGTGTGCGAACTCAAAAGTCTTTAAAATCAGAAAGTGGGGAACATTCAAGCAATGAGCATGGCAATTGTGATGAAGATGACATTGGAAGCATTGCCTTGAATGCGAGAGATAGAAGTGACAATGGAAGTGGAACCCAGGTACATTCTATGTTATTTTGATAAATCTTGGTATTTATAAGCATAAGTGAATTTATTTTTTTTATATTAAATATTGTTCTTGGTTACTGCTAATAACCAATACACAATTTTGGTATCTAAATTTCATTTAGGTGATTCAAGTGTCGATATGAACTTTATGAAAAGATATAACAAATGGCTTTAATTCCATATAACAACTCAATTATATGATAAAGTTATCCTTCCAAAACAAAAACAAAAAAGTTTGCTCTTAAACACAATATTTGGTCCTAAAATATCAATCAAAACCATTTGAAACTTTGTGAACCTTGAATTATTTACAACATAACTAAATTAAACAATTACTTTAGCCCATTACTCAAAAGATTCAAATATGGCTACCCAAACTCATGATTGTTCATGAGTTTCAAAACCCAAAACATACATTGTCATCTGAAAATGATTTCAAACTCCTTAATAGACCATACTTTATTCAAATACATGTGTTGGTAAACATATTAGCATCAAAAGTCATTAATCTCAAATTCCTATAGCCAATATAGTTAAAATATACCATAGTTAAACACTAATAATAAGTCTAAACATACTCATGATAATAAAATAGATATACTTGGTTATATACATCACTAACACATGCAAATACTAAGGAGACATAGTGTTATACGCTACACTAAATACTAAGCCTCTAGTACTTCTCTCATGTAAAAATATTAAACAATAAGTGTGAGACAATAATACCATAGTAACTAATTACTTGTTCACAACAATGCAAACATAATAAGGTTTATATTTTAGTAAAGTAGGTTTACAAAACATAGCCATAAGTACAAGCATTCCAAATGACATATAGATCCAAATATTGATTTATTTCAAACATAATTTCAAAAAATATATTTTTTAAACATGATAATTCAAACACATAATAGGCATAAGAAAGAGTTTTCCAAACATGTTAGCATCTAAATACTATACTTGGCATGATCAATAACCATTACTCTTATAACACAGTCATTACTATTCCATGATTATTAAGTCGATCAAAATCACAATGCTAACTTATCAGCCAAGTGTAGTTCATGCACAGGCTCTTACAAGTCTATCACGGGAACTAAGTAGTGGAATACCACATGGTATCATATAGTAACTGATCATGATGTTAAGACAAAGACATTCCCAACATATTATATGCTCTAAAACAGAATATATTGTCAAACATATCATATTCTTAACATAATAGCTTTTCCAAACATAATTATCCTATAACAAATATGATTGCATAATTCTTTTATAGTATGTTTTCATCAAAGTTCCTTTGAAAACATACCCTTTCATTCTAAAAGTTTAACAAACTAAAACAATACACTTCCATATGGTTCAAACAACATATTTTATTATCAAAATAACTCACCAACACATGATATGCAAGCACATACATAAAGGAATTGTATTATGGTTACCTCACTCCTTAGCTTATAATAATCAAACCTTGAGAATCCACTTGCCAAATCCTTAAGCAATCAAATGTCAACTAAATATATCACAAGAATTACTCATGAAATCGAGTCTAAGATAAGAAAATCTTCCAACCCTAAGAGCCTAAACTCTTGAAATTTACTTCTATTAACATTTTCTCATGACCCATACTTATTCTAACATAGCAACAAGAGAAACCACCCTAAGCATAAAAATCACCAAAATTCCTAACTTTATATAACTTAGGGTTTTTGCTCAAATCATATCCATTAATGAAAGCCTCAACCCACACAAATTAATTCCATTGTAACATCAAAATAACCCCCAATCAACTTATTTAAACTTAATTTAGTCATGGGAATCTCACAAATAGTTCGAAAACCACCTTAAACCCTTTATTCTCTTCCTCTAAAACCCCATAAATCCTTGATTTAATGTTGAAGATTAAGTTAAAGAAGATTACCAAACTTTTTAGAAGCACCAAAATATCAAAAACCATAGTAATGGAGGATGAAATCGCTAATGCAACCCACACATTCTTTTATTTCCACTATTGTTTTCAAGGCCTACATTTTTATAGAGATTTTGCATTGTTTGTCCTTAATAATGATAAAGAGACAATATTCCTTACTTCATTCTCTACAAATGGTCCCAATTTATCCAAAACATACTTTAGTCGAATCCAACTTGATAAACTAGGTTTTACCACATTAGTATAGAGATTGACACATTAAACATCAAAGTTTTAAGTGTCAAGGAAATATATTGATGTGTTAAAGAGCCTAGTTGACACTTTAAACAAGTGGTCCCTTGTGAAAAACATTAGGAACATTTTGAAGCCTTTGGAAAATGAATTATGTTAACTTCTTTTCAAGAACATCTTTAAAAACAATTTTTATGCAATATGCAATATAAAAAATTCCATCTCAATATTAGCACAAGTAATGAATTGAAATTCCATTTCATTTCATACATGATAAGTACAATAAAGTTAGAGTATGAAATTTGTCAAACCTTGTACTCTTACTTCTATTTAACTAGAATTGGTAATTTGGACAAGCAAATTCGAGTCAAGCTTAAAGTATCCTATCCCTTAGAAAAAATCGATACAGTCAAGCCCAACCCTAACACCTTTGAGCTTCGGGCTAGGTTGAATACCTGAATTTTTTTTAAAAATATTTTTTCTTCATTTTTTGAAGCAATTTTAATTTTTAAATATTTTGTTGAACATAAAATACTTTAAAAGAATAAAATAAAAAATAATAACTTATCAACTTTGTATTTAAGTAGTTCTATTACTGTTTTATTATATTATGTATAATTTATTTATGAATGTTTCTTTTACTTGTAAATTAATGCCTTAGTTGTTTAAATATTGTTCTTATAATGGTCATATATAAATATTTTATATATTTTAATTAAATTATATTTTTTTAATTATGGTCAAGTTAATTTCAATTCAATCATAGTTAGACTACTAACTTAAAATCAATATCCCAATTAGTTCAAAGTTTGTAATAACTTTTGGATAAATAGTACTTTTTTCAAAAAAAAAAAAGAAAAAAAATAGCCATCATTATATTATACCCTTACATACAAGGTTTTTTACTCTTAATTTTTAACCAAATTTGGCATAGATAATAACTAAATAATTATTCAAGTATATTTTATTTGTTATGTTTATTCACTAATAAAGCTGAGAATTCAAACATGTCCAAATTTTTCTTTTAAAATTATTTTTAATTTTATTTTTACTTTAAAATTAATTATCTTATTTTATTAAAACTATAAAATATATTTTTTAGATACGCAAATGATGTATAGGACTTAAGACTTTTTTAAAAAAAATTAGGTCTTAAAATATAAAAATTAATTTTAAAATATATTTTAAATATTATTATGAGATATTTTATTGATTACAAATAATGAAAATATGAAAATATAAATATTTTTAATTTTTTTAAAATATAACTATAGTAATACACTCAAATATATAATATTTTAGTATAAAATGATATAAAACTTAAATAATTAATTAATATTTATTATTTTTAAAAAAATTATTTTTATTCGGGTATTCTAGACAAACTCGAATTGGTCTTAACCCAAATTTTCTCGAGCCTATTCAGGCCACTCAAATAGGTCCAAACATTAAAAAATTAATATTTTTTGGGCTTAGTCCTAAAATTTTTTGGATGAGTTCGAGCTGACTTGTCGAGTTTAATCCAAATTACTAATTCTATATTTAACTCTATCAGGCACTATAAAATATGTACAAGAGTGTAGGAAAACTTGAACCAACTAAAATTTTTCTTTTTAAAACATAACCCACATAAACTATTCATTTGACATCTTTAGAAATTTTGGCGGACTTTAAAAATTCATAATTAATTTTAGAAAAAAAATCATTTGTGGGTCATTCTAGTCTCTAATTCAAGCTCTTGAAGTCCTCTATATAGGGAAAATATTTACTAGCTTATACTGTGCTTACTTACTTTAGAATAAATTTTCAAACTACTTTCTCATTTTGCCCTTACAAAATCTAGATTTGAGGTTAATAGATTTTGTTTTTGATTTATTCATTTATTTGGCATTAAAGAGCTTTACTCGTCATAATAAGACATCTAGCATCATCTCAAAGTCTCATAATACTTTTCTAAAGGCATTGGACCCTTTTAATTCAGACATTTGCATAACTTGCATGCTTTCTCATATAATTCAAATAAACATACAAGTCATTCTCGCATGACATAAAATTTGTTATGTCATAATCCATCATTCATATACATTGCTTGATAATAAAAACTTCATCAAAAAAAATCATGATTCAAATATTTACGATCCAAAATATTTGTTCAAACTACTCAAGCATACTTTCAAAATACCTTTTCTCATAAGCATAAAACATATTCCCATTCACTTGGGACTCTCCTTGATTTTATCTATGCTTGATCAAGGGCCTAAAACATGATTATAATAATAGAATTAGATTTGGAAAAATATCAGTAGCACAGGTTCTATTACTATCACCCAACATATGTTAATCATTGCAAGTTATAAATCATATACATGCCATAACTTTCTAAACATGTTATCAAACAAGAGATGTACAAATGGACAAGGGGCGCGTGCAAGTGCACATATCAACAATGATCACCTTATCTCATGCTCATGCTAAAATAGACATATAAAATATTCCCTAACCATAGCAACAATCAAACACAACTTCAGTTCAAGAATGGTAAAAATGCTACCTTGGTCACTAATTAAATGATATACGGTATTCCATTCTTTTTTAGTTCTTCAAGGCTATGCACATCCTCTTGACAAATATGAAAGCCTAAACTATAAATGCATATGACAAAGGATAATTTTATGTCATTGAGGTTATTAAACATAAATAAAAACCCTTAACCCCTTTCTTTGTTCTTTAACTACTCTCCCTTTTAGGTCAAAATTAGGGTTTTTGCACGCTAACTATAAAAATTCATTTCTTAGTCTTTTCCCCCATATGTTTTTCATGGAAATCCAAATATGAGGTCATATTTTTGAAAAACTCACATCCCCTACCCTACCTCCTCCAAGCTGAGAGCATGCTTCACTTTCTTTTTTAAATGTGTTTTTGTGATTTCTTGATTTCTAGCTATTTTTGGCATAGCTCATCTAATAACCCATAAACAACACAAGAGAACACCCCAAACCTCATCATCCTCAAAGACCCCCAATTTCAAACTTAGAGATTAGTCAAAAATCACTAACCCATTTTGAATTACCACAATTAATCCTTAATTAAATGTTTAGAATACCAAAACAACCTCAAATCAGCCAATCCTCATAAATTAAACCCTATAAATCTAAGGAAGAATAGCAAGAATCATGTCCTAAAAGCTTAACTTAGTGATTAGAACCCTCAAAATATAATGCTCCCCAAAAATGCAAAATGATAAAATCCTAGTGCAACTTCTTATTATTATTATTATTATTATTATTATTATTATTATTATTATTAGAACTAATATCATAAATACTCAATTATGTGTGGACCCAAAAGTTGATAGCCAGCCTCCAGCTATAAAATTTAAAATCATCAAAACTAGACATACTAACAACTGCCACTACGTCCATCATGCTAAAAGTAGTTAGGTAAAACTTTTTCTAAAGTTTTATTCATCATCTGACTAGAATGATCATAGCCTTTTTTATTCTCTTTCAATCTCCCTTGTTCTTTTTTTTATTTTCTTTCTCTTTTCTATTTTTTGTTCTTTATCTCATGTATAGTGACCAAAAGTTGACATTAAAACTAAGATCTAGAATCATCAAAATTAGACATATTGATAACCACTATGTCCATCATGCTAAAACTAGTTAGTTAAAACTTTCTTCAAAGTTTTTGTTATCATCTGATTGAGTTTCTAGCTTTGTAAAGTGTTTTCTCACTTGTAGGGACCAAAAATTCTTTAATTATGATATAGTAGTCCCTAAAATTCCTTCTTTTATCCTTAGGATTTTTATTCTTTTCAGTTTAGTCTGTTTGGCCATTTTACGCTCAATTTTTCCATTTCACCCCATTTTTTCCTTAGGAAGCAACCTGGCTCCACCCATCTGTTGAACAACTTTACATATTTTAGATTCGTCTCATCATATAGAGTTCAATGGTGTCCAATAGATTTTTGAGATTCCTTCCCATTCTTTTCGTTATAATTATTAGCTTTAGAAATACATAAAAAATTTTGTAAATATTATCTTTTTATGGTTAATGGGTAAATTTATCTCAAAATTTTTCTATTAGGCGCACTTGGTGTCCTGAACTTTTGATTAATGCAATCTTAGCCTTGAAAATTTTAAAAATAGTGCAATATCACTCTATCGTAATGTTTGACCAACGTTAACTATTAGTTGAAAATTTATAACTAGGATTAAAAAAGAATTTTTTTTCTCAAAAGTTTTTCTGAATGAGTAATTGATATCTTAAACTTTTTATCAATGCAATGCTTTTGGATTATTAATCTTCAAATCAAAAGAAAATTCTAACCCATTACTAATGTTTAGAAATGGTTCATATTTCTAAATTTTGACAAAAGACCTTACTTGAGGTTGCTTTTGGGCACCAAACCAACCTACCTAAGTGCTCGATAGATTTTTTTTTCTTGAATAATAAAGTATGAACTTGCCCTCATTTTGCCCATAAGCAAGTCTAGACATGTGTCAATGAGCATGTATTGGCTTACACAAACTTAACCATGAGTAAATACAAACTTATTTAGACATGCATGTGGGTAACATAAACCAGCCCAAATTCTAACTTAAAGGCATTCAATATAATTCAACTCCAAATCTTTGTTTGACTTTTAGATTATGATGGGATGTTGTTAGTCTTTCTTTTGATTTGAAAGTTAATAGCACAAAAGCATTATGTCAATCAAAAGTTTAGAATACCAACTACTCCTCTAGACAAACTTTCAAAACAAAATTTCCCTTTAACTCTCATAATAACAGTCAATGTTAGTTAAATATTACTATAGGGTGACATTGTACTATTTTTAAAACTTTGAAGATAACATTGCACTAATTAAAGGTTAAGGATATTAGGTGCACCTAGCAGAAAACCTCCAAGACAAATTTTCCCTTTAATCCTTAATCCTATCTTTTAAGATGGTTTTCATTTGTTTTCCTTTTAGCTAAATTCAAATAACTGAATTACATTTCATCAAAATAATTAATTAAATTAGTTATGTGTATTAAAATTGGTAGACAATAATTGATATTTGGAGTATCACATGTCATATGAAAAATATAGTTTTTAGTCCTTAAAGTTGTGGTCAATTTGGATCAAGCTCCATATAATTTTTAATTTTTCATTAAGAAATTAGTCCTTTGAAATATGGTCAACTTTGTTCAAGTTCTTTAAGATGACATGCACTAATACATTAATGATATTTGGTGATAAACTGATATTAGTCATTGATCACCAAATTTGATTATAACTCCATAAACTAAATTTCTCATATGAAATAAATTACAAGTAGTAGTTTAGCCTAAGTTGACCATGATCCCTATATATAATATTATATTGATGGGTTTTACGATAAATTCTGACTAAAAACGTCGCTAAGATTATGGATATAAACCATGAGAGTTTTAAATTGAAAATAGTGGATTTCATCAATTATTTGATATATGAGTTTAGACCAAATCATTTAAATACACTTAATTATGTGCAATTTAGAAGAGAAAAAACATCCTCATGCATAATATATTGAACTCTTAAAACAACCCATATGATTTATTGACTCTAGCAAAAGAAAAGCACTTGTTTTTCCCATCTAAAATATATTAATTATCATATCATACCCTATATTTTACTTCGAACACTCATTTTTAGGTCATTATTCTACAGAATTCTTGGACCAAGTTGGCAGTTGAAGTCGATAGCCCACGACTAATGTCCCCAAGGGAAAAATTAGGTGATCCATCTTCAGGTAGCGCTGGTGCCCAAGTTGTTCATTCAGTGCCTGCTAAAACTACAACAAAGGATTGTGAGACACAAGATGGTGAGCTTAGTGTGTTTATGTTGTGCCTCTATTTTTAGCTATATATGCTAGTACTAGAAATATAGGGTAAAAGAGCAAATTAATTCCTAAACTATAAGTACAGAAGTGTCTAAAACTCTAAACTTATTTTTGGTATAATGTTCCTCTTTGACTTTTGAAAACAGTACAATCTAGCCCTGTCATTTAAAAAAAATTGATTTTAACTATTACTTAATTAGAAAAACTTTGAAAATTACAAAAAAGAATAAAAAAATTACAGTAAAGGATCCAAATTTTATATATATTGGCCCCAAAAATTATAGAAAATGACCAAGAAAATTTTATTTATCCTTTTCTGTAATTTTTGTGGTACTTTTCTGTTATTTTTTAGTCAACTAACAATTAAAGTTAACTTTTATTAACGATAAAAATAAGCAAATTGCATTGTTTCGAAAGTTGAAGAGGAACATTACTTAAAAAATAAGTTTAGAGTCCCAGACACTCTTAGAATTATAGTTTAAGAGCCAATTTACTCTTTCACCCAAGAATATAATTCACCATGCTACTTATATAACTCGTACATTCATAATTAATAATCTAGATGCAGAACCATTCCAATAATTATATATTTTTAGTCAAAAATAAATTATATTTTGACTACTTAAAATCAAACTATAGGTGCATTATACATTGTTTAACCACAAGTATTAGACAACTTGGTTATATATATATATATATATATATATTAAATCAACCATGCATAGTTTAGCCCATTTCAGTTCCAGTATAGTTTTCAGCAATGTGATTCCTGATTCACAACCCTTGTGATTTGTTATTTTATCCCTTAACTATTAAAAGTTATATTCTATCCAAATTTATTGCAAATATACAATTAAATAACTATTAAATTAATGAACAAATTTTAATGACTTTGAACAAATTTTGTGTTATATGTGCAACTATATTTACTGTGGTTAGACTAATAACTACACGTTTCAACAAGGGAAATGGTGAGGTATAAGGGAAATATACGTTTAAAAATGGAACTATTGGTGTCTTTTACCTTTACATGGATATACATGTTAAATTCGGGGGGAAAGTATCTCACAGAGTTCAAATGATATAAATCTTCTTAATTACTTATTTATTTGTTTGTTGTTCATATTGTACATCTAAATATGATTGTTAATAATTAATTATGTGATGTTTCTAGCATTGGGCATGATCATAGACATAAATTTGGAGATAACAGCACCTAGATCAATCCCAACATTAATGCAACCTCTTGGACAACGAGAAGTTCCATCCAACAATGATGCTTGTAATTATAACATTAATGAAAGCTCTGAGAAGGAAAAAGTTGATCATGACAAGGAAGAAAGACAACAAGTGGATCAGCAAAATAGCACTGAAGAAAGATTAGTTGGAGAATACAAAAATCAAGTGATTATTGGTCCAACAGGTGTTGATCTTGTCTCCAACATTAATTCTAATTCTGACCCCATCTTAGAAATACAATGTTTAGAGAACCCAAATGGAATGATCTCTAATGAAGAAGATAAGAATATATATGGAAACCATCGGACGTTGAATGGTGCAACAGCAGACGTTGGAAGTAGTGTACAAGATCAACATGTCTTGAAACCATCACATCGTTCTGCCTTCTCAAGGTATGTGTATTTATATAAAAATGGTAGTAATTAAAAACTCATTCAGGGTGATTTTGTGAATTGATTGAATTATCTCTTAAAAGGCCATTTTTCTTTATTTTGTTAGATTTATCTCAAGATTCTCACTTCAATTTATTTATTTATTTATAATCTAATCAATGAGTTAATAAAGTGAGAATCATATGCAATACATCTCATAGTGAAAACAAGGCTAGTTTGATTATGTTTTCTGTTTTTATATTTTTAAAACAATTCTATAGAGTAATTTTTTATAACAAGTTTTAGGGGAAAAAATCTATTTAAATCATTATTCTGAAAAGCATGTATAAAGTGGTGAAACAAAGGGTTCAAGAATTTTCATGAGAAAAGCTAAAAGAATTATTTAGTTTACTAACATAGGTGTCATTAATGAAAACATTATGTTTTTTTTCCTTTTCTTTCTTGTTTTGCAGAATAAAAAGTAACAAAATATTAAAAAGATATTCTGATTTTTTTAGTTTTTTTTATAATAACTTTTAGTTTTTTATTTTCAGAAAAAATTAAATAAAAACACTCATTGCCAAACAATTTATTTTTCAAAACAAGTTCTCATGTGGGCCCTAATAATCTCAAAAAGAGTTTAATTTTTCTTTGCTTTTTTTTCAATTATCACGATCATCAAGTCTAATGCTTTCCTAGGGTAACAAAATTCGAAAATATTATTAAATGCATGCAGGTACAACTCAGCATCTCATCAAGCTCCAGCAGGCAATGTTGGTAGTTGTTCACCGATTGATAATAGCTCAGAGGCAGCAAAAACAGTAGAATCAGTGCAAGGCATGCAAACTTATTTTAATAACATGCCTCGCAATACTTTATATTCCAATGGAAGTAATAACAACTACGACATGGGTTCAGCTACAAATAATAATGACTTCACCAAACCTCCTGCAACCATTGAATTTATGCAAGCCTCTTCAACATCCCAACCTACTCAAAATGTGGCTCTTCAACCTTCACCTCAAGGTAAGCATGTGTTAATTAATTGTGTTAGCAGAAATCAAATTATTTGTTAAAAAATGTGGATATTTTCTCACACATACAATCAGTTGTTAAATGGGTTAAAATGCATGAATTTTAGGGACAAATTATGTGAATATAGTGTTAAAAAATAGGTTCACATCTGAAGGTTTTCTTATAAAAGAATCCGGTGGAGACTATATTTATTTCTTTAATAATGAAATTCTCCAAAATTAGTCCACAAGATGATCGTACTTCAAATTAGGGGAAATTGAGCATAAGGACCAAAAGGATGATAAGGATCAACCATTGAAGCTGCAATGTAGATCTGCAATCAAATTTCAGGAATCTTAAACACAAATTTCTAAAAACTCTCATGCGTTGGTCCTTACTGACAAATATTATTCCATCCTATTGTTCCTTATGCCAAAGTTTCCTATAAATTATTATAGTTCATAAAAATAAGTTTCTTTTAAATATTAAATTGTACAATCTCGTTCTTCATTTAATGTGTTTGTATAGTGATATGAGTTGTTTATTATCGAAGGTGAAAGAAGTCATCACTTACACTTGGTCACATGATTAATAATAAAAAGGCTAAAGTGTATTTTTGATCTTCTAATTTTATATAAAGTTTCAATTTAGTTCCTTAATTTTATAAAATATCTTTTTAGTTATTTAATCCTAACATTGTTAATTTTAAATGATTATTTTTTATGTCAATTATTGTTAATTTAAAAAAAATAAACTTAATATGTTAATATTTAAGAATGTTTTGTCAATATTTAAAAGTTTAATATTGTAGAAATTTTTTGTGATAAAAAATAACAGTGTTAAGGTTAAATTAAAGGACCACCAAAATAAAATCTTGTGTAAAGTTAAAGGATTAATTATACACTTTAGCCTAATAAAAATAATTATTATTGACACGCATGGTTTTGCACTTGGAAAATTTATAGTAACACAAGAAATGATGACATGCATGCATGGTTTTGCAGAAAATGGTGATCAGCAACATATACAAGTGCAGCATCATCACCATTATCACCACCATCACCATCATCATCACATGCATAATATGGTTGCTCATCATCAAGCAGAAGCCAACCAAAATGGTCAATCTCTACAACTCAAGACAGCAATGTCTCTGAACGAATCCTCAACTAATCCCTTGATGAGTAGTGCACCAGTTAAAAGTAATAATAACGATGCTGCCAACCTGAGCTTAAATGGAAGTGCCTCTGGGAGTCACCATGGTAGCAACATGGATATGGGGAACAATAATAATAATGCCACTTTATTACATGGCAGATCAGCAGGAAACATGGAACATGATCATGATAATAATAGAATAATATCTGAAAAAGAGGGAACAATTAGTTTAATGAGATTTGATCAGACTGCTCCAAATGTTACTATCCAGAATCGATTTGAACGAAGAGAGGCTGCTTTGAACAAGTTTCGCCAGAAGAGGAAAGAGAGGTGCTTTGAGAAAAGGGTATGTATATAAATCTATCTTGTCATCACTATTATACTATTTTGTTTATAAAATGCATGTGCATTAGGCAATCATGAGGAAATAATATAGCCCAATCTCATTGACGCTTTTATTGTTGAGATTTAATAGTATCATTAATTAAAAGGTATTTTAAAAGGGGAAAACGTAACTTGTGGTGTTTATTTTTTTAGGGTGTTTTAGTATTAGTCTTTGTATACAATTTTAGTCGTTATCATCACAAATACAGTTAAATTTGCTTATGTGTACATAAATCTATTAATTCTATTGTGGAATTGGTAAAATTATGATGAGTTGAATATTGTGAGTAAAATAGCTAGTAACTTTTTTGTCTATATGTCCTAGATGTCATGTCTTTTTTCTTTTGAAGCTTCATTTATTGCCCATTTAAGAATTCTAATTTAATGTCGAGCTTTTTTTTTTCCGAGCTTTTTTTTTTCTTCTATTTATCATTTGTATGACGCATTATAATTTTAACAAGTCAGCACAAGAAGTAACAGAGTTTATACATAGGTTAACAACCAATAAGTCCTTATGTTTATATTTAAAAAAAGGGGTAATGGAACTTTTAGTCTCTCAAAATTGCCTCAATAACTAATTTGATCTCTCAAATTTAATTTTTTATTGAGTTCATCTCTTAAGTTTGTCCCAATTGTCAATTTAGTTTTTATTGTTTAAAAAAGAGGTAACACAATTAAAATTTATTAACATGAATAAGGGAATATTAAAGGTACCCATGTTATTTGATAAGGCTACAATTATATAAGAGTGGTGTTTGACTTGCAAATTAAAGCTTCTTCCTTTTGTGATATTCATTAGGTTCGCTATCAAAGCAGGAAGAAACTGGCAGAACAGAGGCCTCGAGTCCGTGGACAATTTGCACGACATGCAGTTGATGAAAATAATAAAGGGAAGTAATTAATGTTGAGCAATTCGATCTCCGAATGAAGGCATTTGGAGAACAACATTCTTAATTGGTACTTCCCGTCATCTTTTGTTGTCCTCATTGGGTCAATCTTTTCATTTCCCAGTGTTGTTGTGTCCCTATTCATAACTATTTTCATTTAAGACCTTTCCATGGGACTGTAGAAAGACATGTTATCTAGTATGTGTATTGAAACTCTGTGACCTATATATTGCTGAGACCAGACAGCAGACGATGGTATGCCTTAACTGTGTAGCCTTCTCTAATAACATCATGGACTTATAGGTGTGCCTATGTATTAAGTTGAAGATTTAAATTTAATGTTTGTTGATGCTACGATCAGAACTCTCTTTTAGTAACTTTGTTGTTTAACTGGATCTTATTTTTATTTTTCTCCCTTTTGGTAGCATTATATATAGGATTTAGGTTTAGTTCGTTTTTCTCAATTGTTTAATAGAGTGCTCCTTAGTTCATGATAAATAATTTTTCCATAAAATAATAGCTCAAGACAAGTCCATGCATGATATATATACGAATATGAGAACGCCCAATATCTGTTATTATAAGAAAGTTTATGTGTTTTAAGTATCCCTTCCGTTTGTACATCTTCAACTTAAGTTTTGGTTAGGGAACAAGAAAGAGGTGAGATTCACTTTTTAAAAATGAAATTAGTAGTGTTCGAATTGGTGGATTTAGATTTGAATTTTAGATTTCAAATGTTAGATTTCAAATCGAATGTCTAAAATTCTTTGTTTAATTTGAATAGTTTAAAAATTTTCACATAATAAAGAGAGATGAATTGAGATTTGAAATAAAAATAAAAAATTAGAATTGATGAATTTTTTTCTATTTTTCAATCAATAAGAGACGAGAACAAAAAATTAAAAAAAGTACAAGAGTTATAGAAGTATCACCATTAAATTTTTAAAATTACAAAGGAAATATAATAAGTAGTGGATTCTGTAAATTTTTATGTACCTAAATAAAAAATTTGATCCAAATTCGAGATTTGATCCAAATTCAAATCCCAATTAATCCAAATACATACACCATTAGATTTTATTGTTCTTGCAATTTGTAGACTAGACTATAATTCAAATTTTCAGAAGCTCACCAATTCAAATTTTCAGAAGATTGTAATTATTTTTAACATTCAAAGTCTATTGAAATGCATAAAAAAAATTGAAGGAGTGAAATATTTGCATGGAACCAAATGGCATGTGTGAGCAAAATTTCACATTGTTTATAGAATGAGGGGACTCCCTATGGATTTTATTATTTATATCGTCAATTTTCACACTTTTTCTCAAGTAATCATGATGGATCAAATTCCTTACTACACTGATTATCTACATACATACATGTTGACTTAAGAATACTATTGGACCTTGACACTTAATTTTTAGATGTTTATTAAACCATATAAGATTTCACAAGATAGAAATGACATCTGGTTCCCAACTCTAAGAAATTTATTGACGCTTTGGCCTCCCATAACATGATCGTTTTGAGATTAACAACTATGATATATCACATGTGATATTACATACAATGGAGCCAAATTAAATGTGATTCTCCTTTTCACAATCACTTATTATTGTGGCACTACTTATTGACTTTAATATGTAGTAGTTGATCCGTTATTTGTGATGGAAATATTCCATCCAACACCACAATATACTTAATATTGCAATGACTACTCTTTTGTAACAGAAATTTGTTCCAATGTGCTAGTTTATGCACTAGTACAAATACTATTTACAAAAAAAGCTAGCCCTTCTATGATGTCCTATACTTGTCGGTTGTTTAGGAAACATCAAATAAAGAGGTGGAATTTTAGGAAAAATTTATTTGATGGTTATTAAGGATAATCATAATTGACATTTCTTTGAAAATAACCGTCAAATATCTTAAGCATATATTTGACTATTATTATTTTCAAATAATCATTAAATAGATAATACTTGCAAATAGTTACTTTCAAATAATCATCCACGTAATTTGTTTTAAAATCTCCTCCACATTATTTTGCATTTTAAAAGTTTAGACAGCTTCGAAAAATCTCCCAAGAACTTTGACAACCCTTTCCAAGCATTCCAACCATAATTTTGCACTCTCCTCTTGTTGGGTTTGTGATTCTTGCTGTCGTATTGCTCATGGTTGCCCTTGCTGTAACATCTTGAAAACTTAATTAAGATTAATTAAGGTTAATTAAGAGTAAATTGATAATTGAAATATTAAATCAAGTAGGAAACAACTAATGGTTGATTAATGGGCTTAGTAGACCTTTAAAGATGCTTGGATCTAGATCTAAGGGAATATTGGGCCGCATTGGGCCCAATAGGTCAAACCATATTAGCCTTTTTGTAACGAATGGAACAATGCTCTAAGATAGAGATGGTACAAAATCTAAAATATCAAATTCAGGTGAGAGGCAGAAAAATGGCAAGAAGAAGAGAGAGAACATCAGGTGACAATTAGAGCTCTACTAGGGTTTCAAAGTTATGTCCATTTGGAGATATTAGAGGCTTTGTAATCAATTGGGTAAGCTTCCCATCATCCTTCTCACCCTCTCTAACCCATTTTCTTGGCGGTTTTAGGTTGTCGTTTGGTGGAATCTGAAAACGGATCATGTTTCCACCAAAGAATGTAACTTCCAAGGATTGTTAAATGTTTATTTGGACTTTTAATCATTTGGGTTAGTGAGTATGTTAATTTAGAGCTTTAATGGGGGGTTTTGACCAAACCCTGGAGATAAATGAATGAATTGAAGATAATGTGAGTGTTTAAAATAGGTATTGAGACCTTTGAAGAGAAGGCTCGACCCATATACTTGGGTCCATCATCCTATATCTAGTTAAACCCTAGTTTATTAGCTCAGCCATAAATCCCCAATATCATGGGATTAATAAATTGCTTTTATTGTATTTTATTTTTGTGTTTTGGCTTATTGTATTCTGGAAGATATGGGCTCGTGATTGTTGCGCATCATCCTCAATATATTCTGATTGTATTGCATCATTCAATAAGTGATTAAGAAAAACAAAGGTGTACTCTGATTTCCTCATGATATTAGAGAGGCTACATGTCTCAGAAGTTTGTAAGTTTCAACACATTCAATGCCTTCCATGGAAGCATAGATGATTCAAGCTCCAAATCACATGAAAAAGCACAATCGAGTGGCTCTCACAATAAGATCAAAGCTGCCCTAGGTCATAACCTAACAAACAACGGTCTCCCTCACAGTAACGTAGGGCACAGACTGAACATTTATAATCTACACTGGTCATAGAGTGTTCTATTGTTCGTTCATGGAAAAGAAAAAGGAAAGTACTTGATTGGTGAAACAACCCAACCTGCAGCCAACAATCCTAAACATGATACCTCGTATGTGATGGCTTGTCAACAACGTGAACCTGGGAATGATCAAATGAAAGGAACACTATTACAAAAAAAAAAAAAATTTATGAAAATGCCTATTTTAGAGTGCTTATATTTAGAAATGCTCTGTACTAGAGTGCTTTGAAAAGTAATGTTCCGGTATGGTAGTCTTCCAGAGTGCTTCCAAAAGAAAGCACTCCAAAAGACTTGAACAAAAAATAAAAAAATTGAATCACCTTCCAGGGCACTTCTTCTAGGAAGCACTTTGAAAAGTGAAGTAATAAAAAATGTACAATAAAAGAAGCACTTTGGAAGACTTAAACAAAAAATAAAAAAAAATAAAATTGAATCACCTTTTGAAACACTTCTTCTAGGAAGCACTCTAGAAGGTGAAGTAATAAAAAATATATAATAATTTAATAGTTAATATTAAATTATTTAATATTAATAATTGAATTACTTATTGATTTTATGATTAGCATATTTATGATTTCATTTCTTTTAATTAATAATCTATTTAATAGTTTCTGTTTTAATTTATGATAAATTTAATGTTTAATAATATACTCCCTGTCTTAAATTATAAGACACTTTTAAATAAAATTTTACATACCAATAAGCCTTATTAAATACACTTAACAACTTTATCTTTTCAAAATAAAAATATAAACTTTTTAAAATACGCATCATTTAATACATTGAAAAGAGAAGGGATGTAAATTAATTATAAAGAGAAAAAAATAATATTAAAATTGATACATTTAATAAAATCTTAATTTACTTAAAGTGTATTATATTTTAAAATAGAAAAACTCTTCTCAAAATGTCCTATAATTTAAAATGGAGAGAGTAACATATATAATACCATTCTATGTGTTGCCACCAGAAACATGTGTATATACGCAACTTTGGAGTTTTAGATCCAAGCCCAACATCTTTTGCCCAATTTGAGGATCCTATTATACTTATTTCTTATCCTTCATCTTTATTTGAACACATCCTGATTTACAAGTTCAGGTCTTCAACATATGTTTGCATCATTCCTTTTCCACCTAAATCAAACCAAGTTAATCCATCGCAACCCTCAAGCCCTCAAGATGATGGTGACAAATTAAAGCTCCTGACACTGGGTCAAGTAGTCTTAGTTTAGATCAAAATCTCCAGCACCGGAAGCGACCACGAGATGGTGATAACAAGGCTAAATGATCCCATTTATCTTGGTCTGGCAACTTCAGCAGCACGAGATCTTGAATCTTCTGGTCTTTCCTTTCCTTTTACTTCTTTGGGTTTCAGCGAAGTTTTGGTTGAAAAAATCCGCATTTCAGCATGAAGGTATCATCCCAAACTCTAATTTGGAATCTTATTGCTAATTAATGAGTAAGTTATTGAATTAGTAAATTAATTAAGTTAACCATGTTTTCAAATTGTAAATTGATATTTTGGGTCATTGGACAAGTTTATGATCATGATTGGACACAATATTTTTTGGTACCCCAAATTCATTGAACACAATATGTTTTTCGTCTCATAATAACCACTTGAAAGTGTATTTCCTTCTGAAAACATTTCTTTCAATAGTCTAAATAACTCTATAAAACTCTTATTACTCCACCTATATCTCGCTTTTAAGTTGAATAACTTCAACATCACTGTTAGTCGTGTATATTTTGTACATCCTGAATACAAAGATGTTTCTAAATTATTGCATAAGCTATCATATTTATACACCTTCTCAACGGTTTCAATGCCAATATCACATAACATATTCTCTATCTGATCACCAAAATTCATATCATCATCCACATCCCTTGGCACACTATATTTTCTAGATTCACCATGCAACACCCACTGTTTATACACTTTGTAGAATCCAAAACTAATTAAATGATCCTTAATCTTCACAGAACTTCGTTGCAATCCATTCAAACACTTAATACAAGAATAATAGAATAATT